GTTTGATTTTAATACTATATTAAAGTTTAAACATTTAGTTTTTAGTTTATATGTTTACTATACAATTTCTAACGTTTATTAAATGTATTTTTTTTAATTTTTATTATATTAAAGTTTAATTATATTAGTTTAATTATATTAGTTTAATTATATTGGGAATAGATTTTAGAAGATATTATATATATATTCACAATTTGTGATAAAATTAGCAAGAAACAGTATTGTCTCTCCGATCGTAACATGTCTTTATTTCTTGCAGGTGGTCACAGCACTTTCTTCGGTTTTTTGAATACCTTTGTACACATCATAATGTATTCGTATTACTTCCTGGCGGCGCTCGGACCACAGATACAGCCATATCTGTGGTGGAAGAAATATTTGACCACTTTGCAAATGATCCAGTTCGTCCTTGTAATGATCCATGCATTCCAATTATTTTTCATCGATTGCAATTATCCGAAGGCTTTCGTTTGGTGGATAGGCATGCACGCTATAATATTCTATTTCCTCTTCCGCAACTTCTATATTAAAGCGTACAAGAAGAAGAATTTGAAAAATGCTGTAGATAAGCAAAAGAATGAAAAGGAAAACATATTTAAAAATCAAGGTGGCATCAAGGAAAAGGACAATGAAAAAAATGTAATATATGCAAACCAGTATAAAATGGCCACTGGTTATATCTCGGACAGCGGCCTCAGAAATCGCGTGTTCATCGACAATCGAGGCTTTGATAAATAATGAAAGAAGCTTCTAATTTAAAAAGACTTCAATTATACATCGAGCGTAGATTTGAATTATCGTTATTTAAAGCCACATTGCATCACAGTCACTGTTCTCATTCGAATAAAAGCAGCAAATAGATAGAGGATATTAAAAAAAGAAATGAAAAATGAAAGGAGAAGCGCCTTTTTTTTATGAGGCTGACTTAATAACATTCTTTCTGAGTGCTTCGCAGCGCAATTTTTTACGTGTAAAGATTTTTTGGCGCTTATTTTATATATATTATATGTGTGAACGAGTATATGTGTGCGAATATGTGTTTACTAATTTATGCGTTGGCTAGTTTGACGAGAAGCAAAAACAGAAACTGGATAAAGCGTTGAAATGATAAAAAAAATGTGTGTTACTCTTCCCAGAAGAGTTAAGATGCCGAAACTTCTCCGATAGATTGCCCTTTCCGGAAAGAGGAAATCTTTAAAAAGATGATTTTTATGAATATTTATACAGATTTCTCAAGAATTATAATTTCAGTTTTGCTTATATTTCTCTCTTTCAAAAATAGAATAGTAACGAATTCTTGCCGTATTTCATATTAAGAGAATAAAGAAGAAAATACAATATTTATTTTATAGGAGCAGAATATTTATCTCTCCAACACAAAATAAAATTGCACAAAAATTGCAGCAACATTGTTGCACGTTGCAGAGATTTTCCAGCGATATTGCTGCAAATTCTGTGCTGTACGGATAGTAAGAAATTATTATTATTATTTTAATGTTTCTAAGCATTATTATACTTAAAATATTGCTGTGAATTGTCTAACCTCTAATCAACGATAATATACATAAAATCAATATGACTAATAAGATAAAAACAGAGAATTTGTTGATTAAAAGGATTTACATGCATATTTATTATCTGAAACAATTTATTTATTATTATTTTGCAGGATTAAATTTTTAGAATTAAAATATTTTATTTTCGTTTAAACTCTTATCCTCTCAGAGAATACTCTGTTTTTACTTTACATATTTCGTTAAATATTCTAATTAATACTTAAATACATAAAGACATGTGATAAAATATACACATATATTAATTTTAGAATTAATTTTAGAATTTTAGAATTATGATAACATTTTTCTTTTTTTACAAGAAGTAACGTTTAATGTACAACTTAAAAAAAAATTTTTTTTCATCACATTTTTTCAATAAAATATAATATTTTAAATAATAAAATATAATCAAATGAAGTTTTATTTAACAAATTACAAATAATAAGAATCTTATTTTAGATCGTACATGTAAGAACACAATTGATAGAAGCTTGTATCGGTCAAAGCTGGATCTTTAATGCGTTTTAATAATAGTTATATGAATTACCCGCCAAAATGATTTTTTGAACTTATACACTATCAAACTACTATAATATCACAAATTAAATTAATAAGCAATTTAATAATTTGATGCTCAATTTGATATCCTAGATTAGAAAGATGTTAATGTACTAAAAAATTGTAAATAAATTTATTGCGAAAAATATTATATTATCTCGGCCGAGAGTCGAACCCGGATCTCTTGTATTCCGAACGAGTATCCTAATCTTTATTAATCGAGGTTGATACCTGAGCTTAATTAGTGCTTCAGTAGTCTAAAAGCTAGTACTTGCTTGTACAAAATACAAGAGATTCGAGTTCGACTTCCGGTCAAAGTAATATTTTTTGCAATAAATTTATTTACAGTTTTACATTTTTATAATTAATTTTTTATATTTTTATAATTAACATTAATATTTTTCTAATAAGATGCTAGATTGAGCATCAAATTGCTTATCAATTTAATTTGT